TTTTATTTACTATTTTTAATTATATATTTTACTCATTAATGTAAAATATTTTTATGCTATTTTAATATTTATCATTATTGCTATTTAATAATTTATTTATTATTTACCCTTACTTTTAGATTTATACCGCGTAATATTTTTGGCGAGAGTTGTTGACATTAACTATGTTGATAAAGTGCAACGTGACATCTTGTAAAGTGCAATGGATTATTTTATAGAGTGCAACATTATGTTATATAAATTGCACTAATTTATACACTCCCATATAAATAATGTGCATTCAAAAACTACTTAATAGCTATAATTGTTCATTGGAATAACTTAAATAATTAAATATCTTTTATTTATTTTGTTATTATATAATTTGTTTATTAGTATAAAACAATTTTATATTATTTTAATATTTTTATATTATCTTTATTTTATAATTTATTTATTATTTAATATATGCACAACAAAATATATAAGAAACAATTTTTTTCTTAACTTTAAAAAAAATGTAGCTTGTCGTTTATGAAATGCAACATGTCGTTTATAAGTTGCAACGTGTCGTGTTATAGAGTGCAACGAGTTGTCTTATAAAGTGCATTAATTTTTTTTATGTGCGCATACAAACTAAAATTAAACCGAAACAATTGAGTCATTATGTAATTAATTGAAAAACCTAAATAAATTTAACTACTTTATTATTTATATTATAAAAAATATAACTAGTATTTTTATATTTTTATTTAATACTTTATAATATTTTTGGTTGAGAACATAAATGAAATTAACCTAAATAATTAAATTAGAAAAAAACATGAATAGTTTAATTAATTTATTATGTATTATAAAATATATCTAGCATTTTAATATTTTTTTTAATATTTTTAAATGTATTTTTGCTGAAAATGAACAATATATATATTTGCATAAAAAAATGTTCAAAATAATCATATTGTTTATATATATTTTCATACATTTCATATTAGACCCATGGACTAAATAGGAATTTAACAAAAATATTGAAATTGCAATTGAATCCTTTGAAATTGTCAAATTCTCAAACAAAAGACCCCCAATTCCAATTCATTCTTCATCCCCGTCACTGCAAATGTGCAACGGCCATCTCGCCCGACGGCACGACGAGGTAGCAGAGAGCGGCAGATAGACGGCAGTCGTGGGTGGCGTTGGTTGATGGCGCTGAGGAGCCGGTCGATCTGCTCGTGTTTAGTGAAGTAATGTTCGTTCGAATGATTAATGGCGGATTCCGGCGACTGAAAGCGGCCTGAAGCAGCGACAGATGGCGGTCGTGGGTGGCCCTGGGGATGGCACTGAAGAGTCGGCCGATCTGCTTGGATCTTCTGATGCCGTGCCCATTCGGTTCATACAATGGCGGATTCCGACGGCTGACAGCGGCGACGAACGTCGGCTGGCGGCGGCAGTTGGCGGGTGGCGCTGATAAGCGACGGTGTCTGTATGTGGGCGTCGTATTTCTGTATGTTCGCGTCTCTGTGTGCGTAGATGGCGGCGGTGAGAGCGGCACTGTAGGGATTCCGGCAGGTGGGGGAGTGGGCGGAGATGGTGGCGAGACGGCGGCGCCGGTAGTGAAGGTGGTGGCTGACTGTGTGTGTGGGTGTGTGTTGGTGTGCGTGCGTATTGTTGTGTGTGTTGTGTGTTGGTAGGTGTGAGAGTAGTAGAAAGGTTATTTAATGTGGAGACGTGTGGTCTACCTATTTTGTTGTGGTGTCAAAATTACCACTATACCCTTAATGAAGCTATAGTTTTACTTTTTTTTAGTCATTGGATCATCCGATCTAATGGCTACGATTTATTCTCATTTCTTTCATTGAGAACCATTCTCATGTGAACCCATATATAGAGTTGGGATCATATGAGAATGGTAGATAGTGAAAGAAATAAGAATAAGTTTGGACCACTGAATCCATCATATCAATGATCAAGATCAAGTCAAGTTTTAATAATTGATAGTCAACATGTAATGGCAGTCTAGTAAATATGTAATCAATTATGGTCAAATATATGTATTTGACACTCAATGGGGATAAATTGGACATTCACATCATATATCAACAGCAGTGGGGCCCATGCACCAACACGTCACCAACCCACCCACCTCATCTCTCTCTTTCCCATTTATTTCTCTCTCTCTCTCACACACACACACACACACATTCACACAAACACACGCACTCAGCACACACACGCACACAGTAACGCCATCGCCGGTGCACCTCCAAATCGGCATTCCCATTGTCGCCGGACTTTCGCATCAGCCTCTCCGCCGCCGCCGGACTCTTCATCAGCCTTTCACAGCCGCCGGAATACCTCCTAAGCTCACAGCCGTCTGAGTCCCTCAGAAGCTTGCAACCGCCGGAATTCCTCACAACCTTTCCAGTCGCCGCCGGTCCCGTCTCTGCCCCCTGACTGAATTAACATCTTCACCGCCTCGTCTTCTCCAAGAGCAGTTGCTGTGCGCAAGTCGGAATTTGTCCAATCTCGGAGTAGATGAATTAATTGTTAGAAAAAAGTGTAGGGGGCGGTGCCACATGCAGCCGCCCCCAATTGCAATTAAAAAAAAAAAATGAGAAAGGGGCGGTGCCACATGCAACCGCCCCACTAGTTGAAAAAAAAAAGAAAAATATTTTTAAAAGTTAGGAAAATTGCCTAATTCAACATCCCGTATGCCTATAAATAGGCACTTCTTCAGAAGGGAAAAACACACAAAAGAAGAAGAGAAAAGAGAGGAAAGAAAGGAAAAGAGAAAGGAAAGAGAAGATAGATATATGTCCAAATATCGGACATAAAAATATCAAAAGAGAAGAAACAAATGATATTTTTATTTGTTTTATGATATTTCTTTTATTTTTAAGTGCTCAATTCTCGACTCCGCTCTCGTTCGCCGGAGCTCGTAAATCTGGTGTGCTACAGATTTAGAGACGATTGCCGTTGTATCTTTGGGGAAGTTACGCCTGAGCCGTTAGCAGACACACGGGGCGTATTCTTCTTGCGGAAAGAGTTATACTCGCCTCGGCTAAAATCTTTCCGTTTTTCAGTTGTATTTTATTTTTTCAGTTCAATTGTAATTTTCTATTTTTAGATTATTTGTAAGAACTGAAAATTACATATCAGTTCGTAGGATTCCCGTGTAATTTTGACACCATTTAGCCAACAATCGCAAGAAGAATATCAGTCATCCTACTGAACTGATGGCATCCACCGGAGCAGGTTCCAGCTCTCAGCAGCTGATCAATCATGTACCTGTTGTCCATGTTCATA